TTTAACGTGTACCACCGGTGGTACACATGGCACGGAACGTGTTAAATAAAATTCACGGTTCACACGAGAAAGAAGATTCTGATGCTTATCAACGTGATACAAACATATCTCGATATCTCGTATCGACGTATTTTCGAACAGATTAAAATGTATTTCGTGCCTTCTTTTAATCTTCTCTTCGTACAAGATCCTAGCGGGTCACGGGAGATCACGCGATTTGTCACGCGACAACGCACGGCGTCCTCGATTTTCACGGAACACCGATTGGCTAGACGTGAATACAGGCAGGGTTCACCATTTAGCTACCGTGGAAAACCATAGCGAATTTATAGAGTGCTTTCCATTATCTCGACCTTTATCTGGCCGGTTGTCGTCCCACATTATGCCAATGACAGAGCGTTACTAAATACTTGGAGCATATATCTTGAACACCCTTCACACGAATTGATATATATTCCCATTGTTAATCCATTATTATAGACTATTTAAAAGTCATCAGTGATTTGTTCGCGATTCAGTTGATATGCAAGATAACAGTGATAACATAACCTTCACTTTTAAGAAGGGAGATACAAAAACTCGTTCGAATGATCTCTGCCTCGGTCGCGAATCTGCGTTACCGGGAACTAACGAACAGAAAGTATATGCGAGTTACTTGACGCGAGAAAAGTCAAAGGTTGACAATGGGGGAACACGAGCCACGCCCAAGTGCCGGCGATCGTGCACGACAAAACGGATCGGATTTTGCTCGGGACGCGAAGAAAACAGCGCCGGCCTATGAAGAGAGGTAGTAAGGATACAAGCAGCTCCCTCTCCCTCTTCCACGAGTAAATTTGACGTTAGCCAAATAAACACATTGAGGCCGGCTACGTTTGAAGTGGTTCCCGTTGACAGCATAACCGTGAACATCGAACCGATTGTTATCCGTTTATGGATAGCCGGCTCCCTTTCAAGATCGGCTCGTTTGCCCTCGTTTTCCTTCTCCCTTTTTCCTCCTCCGCCGTTCCGCCGTCGTTGCCAATGATTGTTGAACGCACCTTTTCGGAAAGATCAGCATCATTCTATCAGCCTCGAGCGCAAGCAGCCGCTTCAAAGGAACCCGCTTGCTATTATTTTCATTTTCCCGGTCAATCTTTCCCGATCATTCCAAGAGAAGTTCACTGTCGTCGATAATAATGTTCGTCCTCTACACTTGTTGAAATCTGTAGCCTTGCTTCGTCTGCTTTGCAGACGAGAGATTTCTTTTTTTTTTTTTCTTTTTTTTGAAGAATAAAATTTGAACTTCACCCGGATGGTCGAAGCAACTCTTTCTTTCAAGTCGTTCGCACAATGGATTTTTTTTTTTTTTTTGTAAAAAAAGTCGCCATGTTATAACTACGTTTATTCGTTACGGCCACTGAAATAAAATCGAACTGATTATTCGGAAGAAAGAGAAGCGGGAGTTACTATTTAAGAATTTAATAATCCTTCGTAAACATACATAATGTCTTTACTCTGCCACGTCATTGGCTGCGAATGCCAATTAGATAAAAACAATTTTGTACAAATTATACAAAAATTTCCATAGGTATAGAAACATGGAAAAAAAAGATTTCCATAAACGTGGAAAAAAAATACATGAATGTGACGAATACTCGATTTCTAACACAGCCAGAAATCAAAATTAAACTACATTAGCGTGAAGATTATTTTAATTATAATCTACGATTCACTGTGAGTTTTTAAATGTATTTTTAAGGTAGTTCTATTAATAAAAGCTTTGGAACATACGGGACAAGAGTGTGCACGGGACAGGTGGTACTTTAAGTGTTCGTTGAGTTGTGTGCTCGTTTTAAACATCTTTTTACAGATATTGCATTTACGTTCCTCCTCGCTATCTTCCTCCAAATGAGTTCTAGTGTGTTTGTCAACCTCACCAACGTTGTCAAACTCCATCGAACACACTCTACAACTGAACTTTACAGCACGAAGAATGCCTATTTGGCTGCCAGTTAACGGAAATATATTGTTGGCACTCTCACCAATGCTGCACCTCAGTCCTTCTTTCTTTTTGTGAGAATTTGTATGATTTCTATTAAAATATTTTCGCATTAGAATATATAAAAAAATATTTTACTGATATACTTTTATAATCAGAGATGCTACCTGTAGGCTTGTTCATTTCTAAATGTAATGTTACAACTAACGCACCGATAATCTTGTCGGTGAGGGATTTGTTGCGTCAGAGATGGCGCAGTTACTTGGAGAATCGTGTTTTGCAACTTTATAGTAGGATGGACGATTAGGTAGTGCTGTCTCACATCTTCTTTAAGCTCAAACGTTTCTGAACACTGATGACACTTATACGGATGCAATGGATCGGTACTGACATGTAATCTTATGTGTTTATCGTAAGTCACTTGTGAACTACATTCAGTTTGGCACATATCACATATGAAATGAGTTTTAATATGAAGATACAGAGATTGTGAAGATGAGAAAGTCTTGTGGCATATAGTACAAATATTTTTCTCATCTTGATTATCACTTTTCTTCATTATGTAATATTTATCACAGTATTCGCATTGAAATGCTGGCTTTGAATCATAAATCGACTTCTTTAACTTACATCCACCTTTTGCACAAATTGCCTTTCTATTAATTTTTTCTAAAGATTGCTTGCTTTGACCTGTATTGGTCATATTATCTGAGAATTGTTGATTTCTTTTTATTAGTTGGGCTAGCAACTTGAGTTTCTTTGATTTTGGGCATGGCTTCCCATATATTTTGTCTATTTGTATCGTTAAACGATATAACTTTCTTCCTGTTGTCACTTTTTGAGATTCAGGCTTTATATTATTAACAGATTCGTTCAATGATATCTCATGATCAGATGATATGTCCATTTTATCTTCTCCATTAATTTTATCAACCTAGAACATCATGTTTCTTTAATACACTATTAACAAAAGTAAATAAAACTTGAGAAGATAATAAAATTATTTACATTTTCTGCTAATTGAGTACAAGGACTTTGCAGTGGAACCACCAGACTATGAGAATCACTATCTAATCTTTGCTGTTTCACTGGTGGAATTGTCAATGATTCAGTTTGAATCACATCTTCAGCTTTACGTTTTCTTTGGTTTTCTATTAATGAAAAATATTTTTATTAATATTTGAAATCTAGATCAATTGAAAAATTGTACTACTTTGCACTTACCATCTACTTTGTTAAAAATAGTTGGGGTAGCATTAGGAATTAGCTCCTTTGAATCATTAAAACATGATTTATCAAAGTGTAATTCGCAGAGGTAGAATGGCTTATCATTTTCAATATTTTCACTTATTTGGCAATTTTTAATCCATTCGTTCCTTCGGCTAAAAACACCAAATAATGGACATAAATATTACAAATTACTGGGTCAGAGTAATCATAAATATATACTAATACTTACTCTGCTTCTTCAGGAAAACAAAACAATGAAATATCTTTTCCGTCAATTTTCGTACTTTCATTTGAAACACAACCGTGTGCCTTGCAGGTTAACATTATGTTAATAAAAAAAAAAAACAACAACGATATCCTTAAAAAGACACAATCTTTTGTAAAATCTGTATAAGCAAAATTATGTACGAACGAATCCTAACCTAAAATCTGAAAATATTTTTATTGGAATGACATTGGAAATGAAAAATTGATAAAAAATACGATAAATGCTGCATAAAAAACAAAAAACAATTGCATTTAAAGTGAAGTAGCTACACTACACGATATACATCGATAAAAAATTTAGATGAATGAATAAGATTCAACCAATTACGTTTTTCCTTTGCCACTTGGCATATCACGTACATCACTTGATTATCTTTTACATGTGCACATGTATGTTTTATTTTAAATATGTTTTAATAAGTATATTGCATTTTGGAATAAGGTTACACGAATCTATCTAAAAAAGGAAATCTATAAAGAAGAATTAATATATACCTTATAATAGACAGAAATGGTATTTTTGTCTTAGGCATTCTAGGCAAATTTAGGTTGGAATTCTTATTAACTAAGAAACATGTAAGGAAAGCAAATTGTTCCGAAAATAGAATTTTTATTAATTTAATTTAACAGTGTACATATATTATGCAACAAATACATTGTTTTCAATTACTTGATGAATTCGGTGTTTAATTTTTCTCAAATTGCATGGCATCCTTCTAATGTGGAACCTTCTAAGATTTGGACTAAGATTTGGACAAGGAAGTTACAAGATCTGTAATCTTACAAGAAAGATCAAAAATATTTTTAATTGCAGCGTCTATATTTACCATTTGTGCGTCTGGAGATTGAACATTAGATTTCTTTGGTGTGATACTTCTGTTCGGACTAAATGTTGTATTGTTACCTTAAAAAACAATAAGCTTTTATGCTTAGTTACTAACAGCTTTTTTTTTAAAGACATTGTTACAAACCTTTGAAACATCTCCTTGTATCATTAATGGAGAATAATCTGGAATATGTTGGTGAAACTTTGATTTTATTAGGTGAACACCTTTTGTATATTAATTGTTTTTGTGGAGATCTCCAGCTCAATGTAATATTTTTTGTGCTGTCATTAAATTGATATTTTGTTGAACTTCTAAATGAATTATTACGTTTGTACCTTTTAAACAAGTGTTTATATCTCCCTAAAAATAATTTATAAAGTTAAAAGGTTTCTTGTCCAGTGAAAAATAATAGTACCTTCTTCTGAAGAGACCAATATCATTTTTGATATCTTTTCTTCATGTATATTTGTAGCAGATAAATTAAGTTTTGGTGAATTTAGAATTGTTTCTAGACCTGTAAAGTTTAACAAGTCTTCATCTAATGTATAATCTACAGTTTTCTTCTGTAAACTACATTGTACATTGTTTAAGTTATCAGAAACTTGTTCCATGAGTTCTTTAGACATTTCTTTCATAGATTTAATTCTCTTATAATGTTGAATTATTTTTTGATCGCAATTGGATAAATCTGGTAGCTTGTGAATTTTCAAATAATATTTCATTTGTTTCATTATTTGATTGAATATCATTAACAGGATAGAAAACACTAAACATCCATTCATATATAATCCATCATTAACAAGCTTTAAATTAAATTACAAATTATTTACATGATTTTTTTATCCTGATATATTTAATTTTTATACATTTTACCTGAATATTATTAGTTAAACAAAATGACCATGTTCTACTATTTACTTTTTGAAGATTTTTCCCATCAAGAATTTTACGATTTACACATAAAACTACAATTAAATTATGTAATGTACTACTAAGAGTTTTTAACTTATTTAGCTTTGAATTTTTTTGACTTAAAAACTTAATATTGTGATCAATACTTTTCTTCCACGCTGCAAATATTTGTAAATCAAAGATATAATTCAGTTTTAAAATTGAATTGTTATCGGTACAAAATGTTATATCAAATATTATATAGTTATACAAACAGTTTATAATCTCTGTATCATCTATGTCTATTAATCGTTTTGCAATTAATAAATTAACTGGAAGCATAGCCACTAATTTCTCTAAATTGTTTTTTGTTTCAAAGATAGCAGTCTGTACTTTTACTAAATCAACAGATATAGACCTAAAAAAATTAAGTTTTTATTTAACACACAAACGTGCATTAAATAAATGTTCTTGAAATATAAAATATAAATATATTTTACCACATGTACTCTTTAAAGGATTCTAAACTTATTTTTGTATTTTCATAAAATATAGAAATGGTATGATTTTTTTCATTATTTTTCAATGTGAGGTATATTTCAGTTATGTTTTTAGTGTCACCAATATTAGGAAATTGTAATAATTCCATTTGATCTACAAAAAATTAATTATTAATGTATTATCAAATATTATACATGGTAATAATTCACATCAAAAATAAAAATTTACATGCTCTGGTAATATAAGCTCTTAGGCTAATTTCTGATATTTTCCACATAAGAATTAAAACTTTTTTCCCTCCTGCTTGTAGCAGATGAGACATAAGTATTGGTGGGAAATTGATATCTGAATTTTCATTTGCCAAAATTTCTAAGTATTTTTTTATCTCTGCACGGTATCTTTTCTCATCTGTCTTATTCAAAATTGGCCATATAACCAATTTTTCAAAACGTTTTTCATTATGCATAGATAACAGATAATGAGAAACGTGAATAAAACCTGCAGTGTTTGGTTTGTCAAACATTCCCTGTAAATCATTATATTAGTAATAGAGATAGTTACATATATTGGTTTTATTTCAACCATAATACCTTTTTAAAGTATTTTGTACATTCGTAAGATGCAGGCACAACTTGCATAAGTAAAAACACATTTTTATAGAATGATTCATTAATCATGTTGTAATATTTCTTTACAGTATTACATTACACTTAATTACATTACTTTATGATGTACTATTGTTATTATAGATTAAATATATACAAGTTATTACTCAAAGGACATATAAAAACAAATATTTATATACAAAATATGAATTCTTATATACACATACTGTCAGTTAGCTTATTAGGAAGGTGACATAAGAAAAGTAATTGCTCAATTATCTAGCAATAAACAAATTCTTTCTCTTTCATAAAACAATTAATTAATATATACTATTAAATTATGCAAAGATTACAAAAGAAATTTTGAATTCTGACATTTTCATTAAAAAATATACAACTTTGCTGCATCCCTACTCTAAAAACCAACATTTTTCTTTACATAAGGAAAAGACAAAAATAAAAACTATATTAATCAAACTCATGTTATTACTACAACGATAAAATATACAAAGGAGAAATATTACATTTTTGAACATTGTAAGTAGCTTTAAAAATACAGAATTATGGATAAAACATGTTCAATTTCATAATGCATTACTGAAGTTCCTTCTAGACGTCACATTCATGACACTCAAGGCTCTTCCTTCTATCCAAGTAAAATTACTTCGTACCATAATACCATGGGACTTTTAAAAAATGACACTTCTGGATGTAAGGCGGCGCCACTAGATTGTACCATAGCAACTCATCTCGGTGTCGTCGTGAAAGCTTTCAACACTATGAGCCATACACAGTGAGGTGTATCTGTCGCGGACAGTGGCGTGAAAATGGCGGTGTAAAATGGCAGGACGTAGATCGACGTTGACAAATGCCGATTCCCTGTCGGGATCTGGAAACACCGATCCTCTGAGAGAATTGTTCGAAGCATGTAAGACCGGAGACCTCGCGAGGGTGAAGGCGTTGGTTACACCGAAGACGGTCAATGCTCGAGACACTGCCGGACGCAAGTCCACCCCCCTGCATTTTGCAGCTGGTAAGCATCATTTTTGTACCAGCTTTCTTCACTCTGTCGCGTTAATAAAATTCGCTACGTGATTTGCAATTTTCCTCGAGCTGTAGCCTACGATTGAAACCGTAGGGGTTTCGTTGTCACGTCGCAAACTCGGAACAATTCGAACACTTGGCTTTCAATGTTGTCATTTTATCGTTCGAACAATAATCATTTGAAATCGAGTTTCATTCATAACGAAAGTATAGCGTGCCTCTCGGCATTGAAGAACTGGAGTAATCATTGCTGGATATAAATTTATATCTTCCATATTTTGTAACAAAAAAACATAACGTTTGCATCGGGGTTTCTTATCTTTCCACGTTGATAACATTTGATATATAATTTAAAATTTATCTTGTCACAGCACTTACGATTGGAAAAATTCTGCTGTCACATTGTGAATATAAAGTAATTGGAACACTTAACTTGCAATCTGTTGTCATTTTATAATTTGAATAATAATCTTTTGCAAAGTCAAATATATTTATAACGACGGAAGGAAAAGATAATTATTGTTATTAACATTATGTTTCTCACGTGTATTTTTTATTTCCAATGTGCAGGTTATGGTAGGATAGAAGTAGTGGAATTTTTACTATCTGCTGGAGCATCCATTCAAGCACGTGATGATGGAGGTCTACATCCCTTGCATAATGCTTGCTCTTTTGGACATTGTGATGTTGTAAGACTTCTCTTGGAAGCAGGAGCTAATCCAAACACTAGAGACAACTGGAATTATACTCCTTTACACGAAGCTGCAATTAAAGTATGATTTAACCTAATTTAACAATTTTCATTTAATTTCAAGACATTTTAAGTGAATTTAATGTAATAATTATTCTAACAGGGTAAAATAGATGTGTGTATTGCTCTGCTACAACATGGAGCAGATGCCAATATAAGAAATACAGAAGGAAAAACAGCGTTAGAATTGGCAGACCCTGCGACTAAACCAGTATTAACAGGAGAATATAAAAAGGATGAATTGTTAGAAGCGGCAAGATCTGGAAATGAGGAACGTCTTTTACAACTTCTGAATCCCTTAAATGTAAACTGCCATGCAAGTGACGGTAGAAGATCCACTCCGTTGCATTTAGCTGCTGGATATAATAGGTCAAGACTGGTGCAAATTTTGTTACAAAATGGTGCAGATGTACATGCAAAGGACAAAGGGTAAATTTCTTTAATTCTTAACATCATCTATAAATGTAATTGTTAGAAGTTAGCATTTGAAATAATTTATTTCCAATGATCGTGTTGCAGAGGTCTTGTTCCACTTCACAATGCTTGTTCGTATGGTCACTTTGAAGTGACCGAAGCGCTTCTCAAGCACGGTGCAGCGGTTAATGCCAGCGATTTGTGGGCATTTACTCCACTACACGAAGCTGCTAGCAAATCCAGAGTCGAGGTGTGCTCGTTACTTTTAAGCGAGGGTGCCGATCCGACTCAGTTAAACTGCCACAGTAAAAGCGCCATTGACGTAGCCCCGACATTGGAGTTACAAGAAAGATTGACATGTACGTTTCCTATGTCGATAGTACTCTTCTAGAAAAGCACACAGAACATGATTTTGTTAGATACACTTTAATTGTAGACGAATACAAGGGACACTGCCTCTTGGATGCCTGCAGGCAGGCAGATCTTACTAAATTAAAAAAGTACCTGTCCCAAGAAGTTGTAAACTTTAAACACCCATACACTGGGGATACACCACTGCACTGTGCCGTTGCATCTCCCTATCCCAAGAGAAAACAAGTAATAGAATCTTTAATTAGGAAAAATGCTGCCTTAAATGAGAAAAATAAAGACTTTCTTACACCTCTTCATGTTGCTACTGATCATTCTCATTATGATGCAATGGATGTGCTACTTAGACATAATGCAAAAGTCAATGCTTTAGATGGATTAGGGCAAACTGCACTACACAGGTACCGTGAATTGTCTAGAACATAAAAAGATGTTTTTATTTTTTTTATTTTACGATGAGAAAGTATGTGATTCCTTTACTTAAAAAGAATATTGTTGCATAAACAGGTGTGTTAGAGAAGACAATGTGCAAGCTTGCAGAATATTGTTATCATACAATGTTGATCCATCTATAGTATCACTTCAGGGCTATACTGCAGCACAAGTAGCTGCAGAAAATGTCCTTAAAATATTACAAGGTTCGGAACTAATTCACTACAGATACCAAATACCTTTTCAACCGAAGAATGTTTCTGTTCTCATTTTTGTTTTACAGATCCACCGAGCGGAACAGATGACGCGGAAGCGCAATTATTAGAAGCGAGCAAATCTGGCGATTTAGCGGCAGTAGAAAGGATTTTACGAACGAATCCATTGGCTGTTAATTGTCGAGATTTGGATGGTCGGCATTCCACACCGCTGCATTTTGCAGCGGGATTCAATAGAGTGCCTGTAGTCGAGTATTTATTGGCACATGGAGCAGATGTACACGCCAAAGATAAAGGGTTAGTAGTTTGTTATACAGTTTATTACCTAGAATAATTTAAATAGAGCAATTAAAGAACATGTTCAATTTTGTATGTTTAGTGGACTCGTTCCTTTACACAATGCCTGCTCTTATGGTCATTATGAAGTAACGGAATTGTTAGTAAAACATGGTGCATCAGTGAACGTTGCGGAT